CACAACTTCCACGGCCAAATCAATCCACAACAACCGCTTTCCCTCTCGAATTCGGCTCCAACTCAATCAAATCTATACAATAATGACTTCATAATATCAATATATGCTAAACAAATCAAACCCAATGCCTAATTATAGATTTCCAAGCTTTCTTCCCAAAATACAAAAAATTGACCCCGGGCCCGCTTCGTCAAAACACGAGGTTCGAACCAAATTTTTATCCTCCATTCACCCACGAGCCCGAATATATAATTTGTTTCCAAGTTCGACCCCAAAACGAGGTCTAAATCAAGAGAATTTAAAAAGCCCTATCTCTACCCATTTCCCCCAATTTCTACCTTAAATTACATGTTTTAGGCTGAGGAATTTAATAGATATTGATGGAAAATGGAGAAGACGAGTTGAACAATGCTTACCCAAGAAATTTTGGTGAAGAAATGCTTCAAAAGTCGTCTAGAAGCTTTGGAGAAGAAAGGGTTTATGAAAAATTTGATAAATCCCGTAATGGTTATGTTTTGGATTTTTAAAAATAACTGGGCAAATTAACCTTACGCGTTCGCGATGGGACCTTTGCATTCGCGATGGGTCGGGCTGATTGGCCTTCGCATTAGCGTATAGCTGCTCGCGTTCGCGGAGATCAGTTCTCCAGGAGCCTCACATTCGCATCCTCAATGCCGTGTTCGCGACGAAGAAGCTAGTGACCCTATCCCCTGAACCCTATGCGTTCGCATTTGCTGGGTTGCGTTCGCGAAGGGTACCCCCCTGAAGCTTCGCGTTCACGGCTCCAGCTTCGCGTTCGCGAAGAGGAAGCTTGGGCACCTGGGAGATTTGTCTTACGCATTCGCGAGTGTGCACACGCGAACGCGAAGAACAAAACCCCTAGGCACTGAACAACAGAAACCTGCAATTCCTATAAGTCTAAAACCACTCCGAAACACTCCCGAGCCCTCGGGGCTCCTAACCAATCACATACACTAACTCAAAAACATCCTACGAACTTACCCGTGCGATCAAATCGCCAAAATAACATCATATACATCGAATTAAGCCTCAAAATCCATAATTTCTTCCAAATTTCATAAAACATCAAATTTTCCATTTTAAGTCTGAAACACGTCAAACGACGTCCGTTTTCAACCAAACTTTACGGAAAGTGCTTAAATCATATATAAGACTTGTACCGGGCGCCGCAACCAAAATACGGGCCCGATACCAACATGTTCTAACCAATTTTGATTTCAATTTTCTTCATAAATTTCAGAAAAACAATTTTACTCAGAAATTCATTTCTCGGGCTTGGGACCTAGGAATTCGATTCCGGGCATACGCCCAAGTCCCATATTTTCCTACGGACCCTCCGGGACCACCAAATCACGGGTCCGGGTCTGTTTACCCAAAATGTTGATCGGAGTCAAATTTACTCATTTTAATATCAAATTTTAGCATTTTTCACAGAATTTCATATTTAAGCTTTTCGGATACGCGCCCGGACTGCGCACGCAAATTGAGGCAACCTAAATGAGGTTTTCAATGCCTCAGAAGCACGAAATGAGTAAGAAAACAGGTGATGACCCTTTGGGTTGTCACATGATCATAGTGAGAGAGAATGTGAGACAGTGAGATTGAGTACTCTAAGAGAGTGAATACATGAGTTCATCACTGAGATGCATTGCATTTGACATGCGTACTTGAGATACATGCTTAGAGATGCATTTCCATCTGCTACCCGATTTTTGGTGACATTCATGATTTTACCTGTATTTTGACATGTAGGCATAGAAATGTACTTTCCTTAGCTATTTGAAAATGAAACATCTTAATAATTGTTGAAAGGATTTTTGGGAAAAAACACATTTTTCAAGCTTACTCATATTTTTGGCGAATTCGGTAAAAGATTTAGGTTTTCACTGAGATACTTGAAGAGCATGCCTATTTTTCTGGAACCGTGAACGAGCTGAGCATCCTATTTCTAACATACTTCATTTATTACCTGCATTGTTTTATTATGAACTGTTGTTGGCTATTGGTGTCGGACCCAACCTTTGTTCCAACTCGTCACTACTTTCAACCTAAGGTTAGGTTTGTTAACTTGTTGAGTACATGGAGTCGGTTGTACTCATACTATACTTCTACACCTTGCGTGCAGATGTTGGCTGCTGATGTTGCTGTGATTGACAGGACCTGGAATTGAAGACGTACATGTGTTCCGGTTGTAGCTACCTCTTGTTCATGGTAGCCTTAGAATATAAAAATCTGTTTATGTACCTTTCGAACAAATGATGTATTTATTTCATACTAGCTTTGTAAATTCTAATCTTAGAAGCTCATGATTTGTACTACCAGTTCTTGGGGAATGTATAAGATTCAGATAATTTCTTTTATTTAATTGTTTATTAATTTCATTGGAATTGGATAGTGTTAATTGGCTTACCTAGCGGGTTAGGTTAGGTGCCATCACGACTGGTCGGATTTTGGGTCGTGACAGGATTATCTGTATACGAGTAAAATTGGGGACAATGCATACCCTGATTTCCCATTGAAGAAGACAGAAGAAGGGCGCGGACGCACGAGGTTGAAATCGAGGCTGGGAGCCCTTAGTACCGAGATCCATCAAAGGTGAACGATGTACTCATCGTCGGGCGTGATAAAGCAATGCTCCCCAGACCCAGAACGAGCTCTAAGACCTCGGGAAATAAGCGCTTACGCACGTCGAATAGAGGGACGTGATATACGTACCTAGTCGGATATCACGATGCAGATCTCGCCGGATGTCGGTTACGGATCAGTAATTAACAAGAACTTTTTTTACCTTTTTTAGACTTGTACTAGAGTTGATACTCTCCTACTATATAAACAGAAAGTTTTTCTTTGATAACACACATTGTAACAAGCAAATCAAGGCAATACAAATTTATATTTTTGCTTTTTAGCTATTGCAAAGCTCTTACTTAACTGTTTGTTCTTCATCCGATTTGGGTTCGAACCAAGGGTCCGATCGAGGGCGAATCTACTATTCAACCTCGATTCGGGCAAGGTCGTAACATTACAACTGGTTTGATCATTCATTTTGTTTTTAACTCGTTTATGTAATATTTTGATTATTTAGGTTGAATTAGTCCGCATATCTTTAAAACCGTGTACAAATTTAATTGTTATACGATTTAAGGGTAAACAAAACTGAAGTGCCCATAACTCGGCACGGCTACTATTACAAAAATGAATTAGCGAAGTAATAACGTCGAGACTATGACATAGCTCGAGTTGATCAACGAAGTTATGTTTGTCAAATCTTTTCTTTTGGATTATTGATTTAACGAGGGGGACAAAAGTCATATTTATGCCAATGGAAGGTGGCTTTAGCATCAGCAAGAACCAAACAGATATTAACCCGGAAAAAAAAAAGATATCTGGGAACTTAATTTTATCTTTAACTTTTCTCGAAGCAATTTGTGTCTCGTCTAAGCGGACATCTCCTTCTATATGCTCAAATTATGCTGAGGTGACTTGTTTATATTAAGACACGAACTCAGTTCTTTCTTTTTCTTTTTCTTTTTTTTTTCTTTTTTTTTTGCTTTGCAAAGATCTGATGACTTATGTAAATTTATTTATTTCGAAAGTAGGATCAAAGATAAGACAATGCAATTATCAAATTTGTACACATGCTGAAAGCGTGGTTTACCTGTAGACCAAACCAAGAAATTGATCCGTTGTTGTCCCTCCTATTTGAACCAAAATTTTAGGGTTCTAATACTTTAGGGTTAGATGAACTATCACCTATATATAGTATTTTTATTAACAGAGCTTTCTGCTGATTTTATAATAATTCTCAAGATCAGCTTTTCTCTGTTCCCAAAGAGCAAAATATAAAAAATATTGATCTTTGTCTTGATTGGTCAACTTTACTTGTATTGGAAGTACCTTTATTCTTGATGCAAATCGGGAAACTTTGTAATCATGTGAATAAGTGATTTGATTTGAATACTAACTAATACTACTCCTATTTAACAAGAGCCAAATGATTCTGTATTCTTTTACTAATTCGAATAGAAATCCTCCACTTGTCGCCCATAAGCAAAAGTTAGGAACTCTCTTGACGTGGACAAATGTATCTCACTGTTTGCCTAATTTTATATTGCTAACCAATAAGATGCTTACACGATTTTTGGAAGTATTTGCTTTTTGGCAACAAACTTTTCAGCTTTATCTTTTGCTATGTAAATGAGATTAATATAAATAACAACCAAAAGGTATTGTCTTTCCTTTTGTTCACTACTGTTAGACCAAAGCTTGCGTGAAAGGACTCAACTGGTTTGGTAGCATTTAATAACCTTTCAGACATGATTAATTAAGTAATAGATGGAATTTATTTTAAAAAGAATATTAAATGTGTAACATCTTATCGATTATTTATGCAAGATTTAGACGCGTGGCTCCATTTGCATACAAGCAAGTGTACCCTTCTTAAGTGAATCCAAGCTTTTGTTAGATTAATGCATATTTTAATATCTAGTAGCCAAGATATTTTCCTCACTTTTGGGGTAGGTAAGATATTTTCAAGCAAACCTCCCCCTTTTCCCTCCTGCCAAAACAAGAAACAAAAAGAAAAAAGAAAAAAGAAAGAGTGAAGTACAACTCAAAAATAAAATCTAATTGAACAATAAAAATTTCCTTCTATAAGGTTATCTTTTTCTTAAGTCAAGGTTAGCACAACATGTGAATTTTCGACATATTGCATTTTTAAGATTCTTCTATATATTTTGTCATGACCTTTTTGATATTTTGCATTTTTCTTAGAGCTTAACGTACTCTGATCCAACAAATAAATATCTAAAGCACCTAAACTAAGCGGGATTTAGATTTGTACAAAGTTTAGTCTGCCAGAAGGCTACAAAACACGTAGCCCAAAAGTTACAAAAAGAGATTAGTTAAATGGGGAACTAATTAAAAGGGGAAAAAGGGCTAAAAATATCTGAGGACCATTATATTATTTTCATAAACTATTTGATTGAACCGTGACTTCATCCATTTTCCCATTACTCTCTCTCTTGCAACATAAATTCCCACTTCTTCTGCCTCTTCCCCATACTTTGAACCCTATCTTTCTGATTCACAAACTGTTTTTGCTGCTTTTTTACCTGTCCATGTCCTCTATTTTCTTGGAAAATTATTGATTCTTGTCTAATCTCGTATTCTTTTGTGTAATTTTCAAAGTCTCCTTCCCTCAGTTCAAAAACCCTTTTCTCTCAAACCCCAACTACTAAAATCAATACATTTGAAAGAAAAACTCAAAGAAGTTAAGGCATATATTGTTAGCCTTCCTTTGACCTCAACAGCCATTTTGGTCATACTTTAAATTCTATCTAACTTTATTCATTGACTCAAACTTGTAGTATCTTTACTCACATTTCTTGAAGATTCAAGGTAATAATGGATCATCTTGGTTCAATAAAGGAAGAGTTTACTTTCATGTCCAATATGCCTCAACCAATGGAGGGTCTTCATGAGAGTGGCCCTCCACCATTTCTCAAAAAGACTTACGAACTTGTCGATGATCCAAGCACCAACGACGTCGTTTCTTGGAGTAGAGGTAACAACAGTTTCATCGTTTGGGATCCTCAAACCTTGGCCATTAATCTTCTTCCAAGGTATTTCAAGCATAACAATTTCTCCAGCTTTGTCAGACAGCTCAATACTTATGTAAGCATTTATTTTCTCTATGCCCAATTCAACTTTGAGCACACAGAATATTATATATATCTAATAGGCATATATAGTAGATATAGGAACTAGAAAGAAGGAGAATTAAAGCTCTTGAGAGTTGAGAAACATTTCAATATTTGCTGATAGAGTGGTTCAGAATTTATATTTCTTTACATTTTCATTCATGTTCCTCAAGTTTCAAGATCGAGTAGCGTTAGTTACTTTGTTGATGACTTAAGAGATTTTAATCTTCCAGTGGGAACTTGTAATAGATTTTTTTGGCGAAATATCTTTAATAACATTGTCCTTAACACGCCTCAAGCTTCAACGATTATTGTGATTCGGTTGTTGGAGAATCACAATAATTGTTGAAGCTTTGAGGCTTGTTCAAGGAATTGTTGTTAACAATATTTTGTCAACAAGATTTGTTTCTTCTAATGGAGCTTGCTGTATTTCTATTTCTTTTAAAATTCTTTTTGGTTACAGTCTCTTTGATGGTTCAATGGTTTTAAGTGAAAATTATTTGTCTAGAAAAAACTATTTCTAAAGCTCAATGAATATATAAAAGGGAGGTATCCTCAGTGGTTTTGTCCATTTAACAAAGTTCCCAGGGGTAACATTTTACAGCTAATTAGCCATTTCACATTACCTTCTTTGCATTCACTTTAGGTTTTTTCCATTTTCATCATTCTTGATATATGTCTATTAGTGTTTCAGCCAACAATACTAGCTACTAGTATTATTGGTTTTTCATCACCTTATATTTTCTTTCCTTACTGGAGGAGTAGGAATGTGAACAATGCAGGGATTTAGGAAGGTTAATCCAGACCATTGGGAGTTTGCTAATGAAGGTTTCTTGAGGGGGCAAAAGCATCTCTTGAAGAAAATTAGGAGGAGAAAGACAAGTAATAATAGTTTACACTCAGCTGGCAATTGCAATAAGGCTTCAAACCAAGGTATGGAGTACTCTTCATGTGTTGAGTTGGGGAGGTTTGGATTAGATGGAGAAATTGATCGATTAAGGCGCGACAAGCAGGTTCTAATGATGGAACTTGTTAATCTTAGACACCACCAGCAGACTACCAAATCATACCTTAAATCAATGGAAGAAAAACTTATAGGGACAGAAATGAAGCAGCAGCAGATGATGAGTTTCTTGGCCAAAGCAATACAGAATCCAAACTTTGTGCAGCAGATAATGCAGGAAAAGGATAAAAGGAAAGAACTTGAGGAAGAAATCAACAAGAAAAGGAGAAGGCCAATTGATCAAGGTCCTAGCAATATTGAAAATCTTAATATAAAGCAAGAACTTCAAGATTATGGTGATGTTTATGGATTTGATGATTTAGAACTGGAGGAAGATGACTATGTTGATCAGAAAGCACATATAGAAAGTGGAGATAAAGCAATTAATGAAGGATTTTGGGAGGACTTGTTGAATGAAAATATTGGTGAAGATGAGATGGCTTTACTTGGTATAGAAGAAGAGGATGAAGAAGATATGGATGTTTTGTCTGAACACCTTGGTTTTTAGGTTCTAACCTAAAATAAATAGCCTTCTGGCTGATTTCTGAATTGTATTAGCTCTTGGAGTATCTGGTTCAGTTACTTGGATACATCATTCATAACTGACTGTCCCATAAACTTTGTAATTCTTTTTTTCATTCTTTGGAGTATGTTTACTTGAGATTCAATGTTTTCAAGGAGTCTAGCTTTTGGACTTGTTAGAAATTTGTATGTCTCAATATATTAAAAATATAGAACTTTAGTGTTTCTATTTTAATTTTGTCTTATTTAATATTGGATTCATGTGAGTTTAAAAAATGATATTAATAATAATGATTCATATAACTAACCTAAATTATTATTCGCATTCTCACTATTAGCAATATTTTACCTGATATTGTGCAACCAGTTAGGTGCTAATTGGGAGGATGACAATTCTCTTGCAGAAAAATATCCAAAATGTGCATGAATCAAGATATAAGGACCGAAATAACCAGGTGTCAGTAAAACTAAATCAGATAACAAAATAGAAATGTACCAAAAGAGATACAAACATTTAACGTGGTTTGGTCAATTGACCTACGTCCACAGCAATCCACTATAAAAAGAGAGTACAAAATATCGAGAGAACAACCTCACAAAGAGGCAACACAAGTGGCACACTAACACTTCTCCCGTAAAGTTCTCCCCGTAAACAAGACTCTCAAACCCCCTTATGGCTACATTGTGGATGCTGATAAATGAGAAGGAAGGATCCTCAATTTATAGAAGTCCAAACCTTTTCTTGTAGCCAAATATAGGAGATTTATAATTTTCTTTTACAAGAAGGAAAACTCAATCATGATAAATATATTGCCCTTTCTTTCGAAAGATAGAAAAACCAAATATGATTAGAAAATCAGGACAAACACCTAAAAATTCCAACTCTAATATTCCTTTTTAACCATCAAAATTGTAATACCTTTCCCATATTGGAAAGCAAATTTCTTATGCATTGTCCAATTTAACTTTGACCCGATTTGTTATCTATCTGATACTTAGTACCCTTGGCCATCGGGATGAGGAGGGACAGGGACGACAGAGGACAAAGAAAAGGAACAGAAGCATCCCCATTGTAGATATCATGTAGTTCAAGATTGCTAACGCTAATAGAGACGCCATTGTGAGGGAGTGCTTCACCTCAATACGAGCTGATAGCAACCAGTGGGCGGTGCCTGTGCAGCTACCCTACGGATCAACAATTAGTTATATGCCGCAAAGGGGCGCTGACCAAGTAGGAGTATATCATTACACGTGCAAGTCTCAACCAATTAATGCGTTAATTAGGACCCCTAGAGTCAAAATGAAGCGAGCATGGCAGACCAACTTCCATTGTTGGTTGACATCGAGCTTCCATAGAGAGAGAAGAAGAAGATTCTAGAGAGGGAGAAATTGGTAAATTTTCTCTATGTATTTCCTTGACTAAAATCAGTACATATATACACGTATGTAAGATCAATGACAGCTAATTACCGAACTATTCTTTTTGTAACTAACCAATTGATCTTAACTATAACTAACTCATAAATACAGTAAACTAATACACTATAATTTTAAAATCTCAATACCCCCCTCAAGTTGGAGGTGAGGAACTCACTGCCAACTTGTGTAGAAGATCTGAATGCTTAATTTCTGTGAGAGCGTTTGTTAAAATACAACTAGTTGATCATGAGTAGAAATGTGATGAAGTGTAATCAGACCATCATGTAGCTTGTCTTGCACAAAATGACAATCAACTTCTATGTTCTTTTTCCTTTCATGGAACACATGGTTCCTAGCGATGTGTATAGCTCCTTGGCTATCACAAAACACTTGAATGGGATCAGTACATGGGACTGTGAGTTCCTCCAACAATCTCTGCACCCATGCCAATTCTCCAACCACCTTTCTCAGTGATCTATACTCTGCTTCTGCAGAAGATAATGAGACAGTAGTCTGCTTCTTTGATTTCCATCTGATGGGGCTACCTCCAAAGAGCACTAGATACCCACTTACAGATCTCCTTGAGTCAGGGCATGCTGCCCAATCTGAGTCACAGTAGGCTGTGACCTTATAAGAGGGATCATTGGACAGAAAAATGCCTAGAGTAGGATCTTTCTTCAGATACCTAAGTACATGTATAGCAGCCTTCAGGTGAGGCTCTCTTGGTGCCTGCATGAATTGACTTAGGTGTTGTACACTGTATGCAATATCCAGCGTTGTATTTGTGAGAAAGTTGAGCTTTCCAACTAGCTTTCTATAGTAGGATGGATTAGACATTAAAGTACCCTCTTCAGCCTTCAGTTTGGTTGATGAACCTAGTGGGGATGAAACATCAGAATACCCCAGGAAATCATACTCCTTCAAAAGATCAGTGGTGAACTTCCTTTAGGAGATCGACACTCCATCATCTTTGTAAAGCAACTCTAGCCCCAGAAATAAAATGTAATTTGCCCAAGTCTTTTATTTTGAACTAATTGTGTAATTAAGTCTTCGGTGCCTTAATTTCGTCAAGATTGGTTCCAGTGAGGATCACATCATCAACATATACAGCTACGAAAATTGATGACTCACCGTGCTTTTAATAGAACAAGGAGTAGTCATTGGTTGAATGCCTGAAACCTCTAGAATACAGGGACTCTGTTAGCTTGTCATACCACTGTCTACTAGCTTGTTTGAGACCATATAGGGACTTCCTTAATCTGCACACAAGCCGTGTGTCTTCTACCTTCAGACCTTGTGGGATTTCCATGTATACCTCTTCATGTAGGTCTCCATCTAGGAATGTACCGTTGACATCCAACTGATAAAGGTCCCATCCTTTCGTTACTGTAGTGCTAAACAGGGTTCTAATAGTGGTCATCTTCACCACTGGGGAGAAAGTTTCTGTATAGTCAATCCTAGCTTCTTGTGTGTATCCCTTTACCACAAGTCTTGCTTTGTATCTTTTCACACTGCCATCTGCTTTATGCTTTATCTTGTACACCTACTTGCATCCTATGACCTTCTTCCCTACAGGTAACTTAACTAGATCCCAAGTATGGTTAGCATATAAAGCTTCAAATTCTTGTGTCATTGCTACTTGCGAGGAAGGATTCAAGGCTGCCTCCTCATAAGAGTATGGTTCACAATCATGTGAGATGTTCTTAACTAATTCTTGGCTATCATGGCTCAATGTGTTGAAGGGCACAGAATGGTTATTTGAGAAAAGTGCAGTTAATAAAATAGGAGGTGGCTGGTGTTCAAGGTTGTGTTGTTGTTTAAGTAACTGTTTGGTTGTAAATTTGGCAGTGTATAGATATAGTCTTTGAGGTGCGAGTGCTAAGTGTCCTGCTTGATCTTCTGTGGTAATTGGTTACTTGATCAACATTAGGTTCTATGTTATGTGTTGATTGGTTGAATGATATTATGTGTAATTCTAGGTGTTCCACAGGTGAAACACTTGGTTCTGGATTTTGGCTTACATGTGGAATATGGTTTGGTATATCTGTAGAATAAGACAAAGGGTTAATGTCTGGTGTATCAAATATAGGACTCTCAGTGACAGAAGTTGATGCATCCCCATCATGATTACAATTATCATCAAGTGAATTAACTGTGGAATTGGGACAGGAGGAATTGTGGTTTATCATGTGCAACACAAAAGGAAAAGAGGAATGTTCAGGGGAAATGGCAAAAGGAAAAATATTTTTATGAAACATAACATCTCTAGACACATGTACCCTCTTTTGGGCTAAATCAAGAACCTTATATCCTTTGGTTCCAAAGGGGTATCCTACAAACACATGAGGAGCAGCTCTAGGTTCAAATTTATCTTTGTGAGTTTTGAGTGTGGTGGCATAACACAAGCAACCAAAACTTCTAAGATGTGAATAGGTTGGTTTTCTGTTGTAAAGGAGCTCAAAGGGGAATTTATTGTTGAGAATTGAAGAAGGCAATCTATTTATCAAATATGTAGCAGTTAGTATACACTCTCCCCAGTATCTCATTGGGAATTTAGATTGATAAAGTAAGGCTCTAGCTATTTCTATTAAGTATTTGTGTTTTCTCTCAACCATACCATTTTGTTGTGGTGTGTATGGGCAAGTTTTCTGGTGGATTATACCTTTCTCTTGAAAATATAGCATGGCTTCATTGTTCACAAATTCTAGCCCATTGTCTGACCTAACAGTCTTGACTGATGTATTGAACTGGTTTTCAATCATGGAAACAAGACCTTTGATGGCTTGAAGAGTGTTACTTTTGCTACTTAAGAGATGAGTCCAGGTTGATCTACTAAAATCATCAACCATTAAGGAAGTATTTGTAATTGTCATGTGTGGTTATGTGATAGGGACCCCATAGATCTATGTGCAAGAGTTCAAATATTTTGGTGGTAGATGAAGTTCTCTGGCTAAAAGGTAATCTTGTCTGCCTTGCCATGGTGAATGGCTGTTTGTGGGAAAATTCAACAGGTATGGTTGAAATAGTTCTCAGTTTTACAAAGGGTACATGGCCTACTCTGTTATGCCATAGATGTTCATTATTGCTTTTATGAGATGATGCAGATAACAGAAGAGAGCTCACATTAAATGAAGAGTCAGTTTTATTGCTTGAGTGAAGAGTATTTACATTGACATTGTTATGTGACTGAGATGACTTATTTATATTTGACAAGGATTGCATAGGTGAATTGTGACTCTTTCCTGTATTTACAGCATCAGTCAATGCAGGAAAACAAGGATGAGAACAAATATTGACAGGGACAGAAAAGGAACCAAACTCTGAACATCCATGACACTCAGGGCAAAGGAAGTACAAACCACTCCTTGCCTTATCAATCTCCAGAGGCCTCTTCATTGAAGTGCCATGCATCATGCAAAGATATTTACAGAAGTTAACTATGCAATTGAGGTAATCAGTTAAGGAATGAATAGAGATGAGATTGTATTTGAAACTGGTCACATATAGAACTCTAACTAAGGTTAACATAGGACAAAGAGATGCATCTCCAATTTCTGCCACATTCACTCTATATCCATTAGGTAAGGTGACTAGGAAAGGATAGGGCAAGGTTCTAACATTTTTTAAAAAGGACTTTCTGTATGTCATATAATTTGAGGCTCCACTATCTAATATCCACAAGTCAGCAATTGATTTAGAACATCTACACACGGTTGTTTCAGCAATCTCTTTATAGGTAGAACAAGCTAGAATACCTGCGAAGTTTTCAGCTACACAAGTCATGTTGTTGTTAGGGCCTTCTCCTGTGTTTCTTCC